ATCTATTAAGTTTCCCAACTGTTGTTTGGTAGGTAACATAATCAGGGCTGCAAAGAGTGCATTAAATCTAGAGCAGGAAAGAGAAAAAAAGTTGAAAGAGTTGGATGAAAGAAATCAAACAATAAGATCCAGCTCAAATCAGGTTCTTTAACACTTGTGTCCTCTGGATTCTTTTGCCTTTTTCAGTTAATAAATAATGTGGAATTGCTATTAATATTAGGTCCATTTTCCTTCATTCTCCTGACAATGAACCATCCATTTTTCACCTTTGAAACATGATTTGAGATCAAGTATGATTGATATGTGCAATTTTTTTTTTTTTTGGCATTACTGTACCTCCCATTGGCTGTGGGTTGTTTATCTGCTTTCCTATGAATTTTAATACACGCATGAATATTAGTAAAAGGCTAAACCATCAAGTTATCCCTTGAACTTCTTCTCCCTCTAACATGTCTTCTGTAGAATTTGAGGAGCTCCTATAACAGTAAATCTTTTCATTAGGCTGACTTGCTTTTATGTCTCAATAATGATGTTGTTTGGTTTGTTGTTAGGATTTCATCAGCCATGAGAGGCATATTGGTAGATTGATAAAACAGATAAGGGGAATAGAAGAGAATGTCAGGTAAAACAGAGTTCTTCATTTATGCTTTGGGCTTTCTCTGTTGCTTTGTCACAATTTGTCATTCTTCATTAGTGTTTTATGTTTGTTGCAATCTACTAAAATTGGATCCTTAAATAATTTGATAAGCCCATAAATAACTAATGCCATCACCATTAACTTCTGGTAGCTTGATTCTATCCAATGATAATCATTAGTAATACGTCTCTTTTGAGTGGCCTTTAATCTGAGATTCCATGCCTCGTTTTAACATGCTAAAATTGAACCAACCTGCCTGGTTAGATTAGCCTGGTTTACTCTGTAGGCCTTTACATGCAGCTGATTTATGGTATCTTTTTCCACCTTACCCTTACTGATAGAGTCCCAAGCCAAAGACACCCCCAGATGTGTCACAACATCATGGACTTGTATGCTGAGGTTGGTGGAAGTTGGGGCTATCACTATGGTCTTTTATTTTATTTTATTTTTTTCTGGCTCTTGCAAGGGCTGAGCAGCTCTGAAAATGTCTCCAATTAATTGAAGCCTAAAGATAGGAGGGGCCACAAAACAATTGTTTATGCTTGTCTCAGTGTTGTACTGTCACAACATCCCATGGACAAAAGGAAATTGTTTTTAAAATTGAATCTCTGTGGTGACATATATGCATTTCAGTTCTAGCTAACAATGAATCTTTTGCAGAACAAAAGCAACTGAACTTGTCCAGCTTATTAACAATCCAAGTTGCCCTCAAACCATCAGCATTGCAACCTTTGCCAAGAAGGTAATTTTTGGACCCAGAGGGATGTGCCCGTTGTAGTTCCAATTTTCACTTTGTTTTGTTTCATCATTAGATAATAGAGAAGGGAACTTGAGTACAGAGAAAATCTTGCAAATTGATATGTTTTGTTTGGGTGGGAAAAAAACTGAGATTTTCATCTATATCTTACAAGGTAGGATAAAAGATTATCATTTTACATTTCTTCTAATAGATAAGAAGGTCTGGAATCAGGTCTTACTGTGGACCTAGGCATGCATGCATAGAGATTCTTCATCGTTTTCAAATGAAGAATAGATGATAAGGCAGATGTAGACAACTAATTACAATTTGAAATTCCCTTTTATACAACCCTATGATCTGCTGGGAGACTAACTGGAACTTTGTAATAAGTCCTGCTGATAATCAATTCTAGTGGTTGTATTTTTGTTGGCAATGCATATTCATATGCATACTGGCTGCAGTTCCCTCTCACGGATTGTGGAGAGTAAATTTGAAAAGGACTAATTCATTTCAACATTAATATTTCAGGTTGTTTCCCAATGTGCAAGCCCTGATAATGCAGCATTTGCTGCCAGCAATGTCATTGTTCGAGTAACATCACAGGTATGCAATTTTGCAATGCATGGGGGTCCTGTAGGGGGAGATATTAATTTGAAGTTTGGTCCATTAATACCTTATCTCCTATTCTCTCCAATTTGAATTTCGTCTTTATTTTGCAAACCAAAGATTTTTAGCTTAATTTCAGTCTGAGCCTAAAATTGAAATAATATGTATCGTGGTCACCCTTATAATGTTGGTGAACTTAAAACTGCTATTAGTTCAAGGGGCTTTTCAACTGCCTTTGAATTATTTATTAGAAATTAAGCCAGGTCAAAGTGTAATATTTTCTTCTAAGTCTTATGATGCTTTGGTTGGCCAAAAAAAAAAAAAAATCTTTTCATTTTTTTTTTCAAAAATATTATTATAATTCTTTGGAATATCTAACTATGTCTATTTAATAATGGTTGGCATTCAGTTCCCGCATGCAATGGATCTTCTACTTGCTGAATTCCACAGAGCTTGTATTTACACCATTCCAAAGCATATCACACACATTGAGGTAATTTTGAATTTTTGATTTCCAAGGCAATTTAGTTTGGTGGTTCTTTGCCAGTTAACTTGTCTTTTAATCAATTGTTCTTCCATTGACGCTACATCTTCACTCACCCTCTTTCCCATATTGATTGTGGAATGATGGTTTAGGGGAAATAATAGTCCCTTGCATTAAGTTGTTAGAATTAAGTGTAGTTTCCAATCTTTGTATTCTATATTTCCAAAGATCTTATTCATTGTTTAAGTGATTTACAATTACAAGCCGAATATTTAAAAATATAAATTGCCAAACCCAAATGCCCAATTTACATTATGCTAATTTTGAAATGAAATAAAATAAAATCAAGATAATAAAAGAAACAAAAGAATTAACAAATTAGAATAGAAGGTGCCTCAGTATGTTTACAAACAAGGAGGAGAAAAAATTATCAATTTGTTAACAAATTTTCCAAAATTTTGCTCAACTTGTGACTTTAGGGGTGAAATCTCACCCTAAACTGCCTTGCCCTTTTATTGCCTCTTCAAATCGTAAAAACTTTTAATTTTCAGAAAACATATTTTATAGAATTCTCAATGCCTCCTACTGAATACTTTATGAAATCCCTCCATCCTCCAAAAACAATGCAAAGTAGTTATTTTCCCCTGAAATATTTAAGAAATGAATGAAGAAAATTCTGTTGTATTGCTTGTTCATTTGCTGCTACTGCCGCTCTAAAGATTCTGAATAATAATTTTGTTATTTCAGTCAGCATTTGAATCAAAGGAGGCTTACTGTAAAGCTATTGGATACAGAGAAGATGAGGGAAAGATTGAAAGTACAGAGGACTATTTAAAACGGCTGGAATCGTACATGAGACTGTATGGGGCACTGGTTCAGGTATGGCAGTATTTTTCCATTTTAATAATTAAAGAAACATTTCATTTAAAGTTACGGAATGGATGCACCTGTGATATCTACTCATGGTGTCATGAATCAATGACTCCTTATAATAAGGGAAGGAGCTAGCTGATACAGTTTATTGTTTGCAGACAGAGGTTCAGGGGTTCCAAAACATCCATGGGCTAAAAGAAGGTTGGGCATGGCTGGCAAGGTTCTTAAATGCACTCCCAGCTAATATTTATACTGCCGTGGCATTGA